CCGTGGGTAAAGCCGCGGAAGTCACCCATAGTGAAACTGTAGTGTTGATATAACAGCTGGTCTTGGTTCATCCAGCCAACATGGCCTGTGGCGGTGCTGTTATAATGGATCTTTAAGCCGTAGGTGCGTAGATCTAACAGCCACTGCATTGGGCTATTGGTGCCCCGTACCATAAACTGGCTGACCATCTCGGTCACCCACTCCCGGAATGATCGTTGGCTATGGTGCCGAGGGGGGTTGTAACCCTGGGTGTGGGCGTAGCTCTCACTCTGGCTGTTGCTCTCACTCTGGCCCTGGCTGTGGCCCTGGCTAAACTGAACAAAGTGCGATGACTGTGGTGCCCCCTGATCTAGGCCACCGTCATCGTTGTAAAACCAATCGTCCGTTGTTTGCGTTAAAAACGTGAAATCAGGCGAATCTAACGGACTCTCTGTATCCCATTCGCCAGCCATCTGATGCGTAGCTAGTTGGTGGATCATCTTCTCGGCCGTTGGGTCTAGCTTTAATGCTTTGTGGACCACCATAAACCGGGCAATCTTAATCACTTTTGACAAGATTGGGGGATAGCTCTGGGCAGTGCCCCAGCCTGCCTCCCCACGTCCAAGCACCGCGCTAGCGCAGATGAGCGCGCTCTCATAGTCCTCGACCTTAGTTCGGTGGTTTAACAGCTCAATGCAAAAATCCAGACAGGCGGAGTCAAGGGGCGTGAGCTGAAAGGGAGATTCGCTAGTGATTTGGACCTGTTGGTCCTCGGAATCACTTCCTGAATGCACACTGCTTTGGTCCGAACTGCTCAGGTCTTCAATGCCCTGGCCGGCGTTGGAATGGCCTGTGTTAGCCTGCCCTGTGTTGGAATGGCCTGTGTTGGCCTGCCCTGTGTTGGATTGGCCTGCCCTGTCCTGGCCGGCGTTGGAATGGCCTGCCCTGCCCTGGCTGGCGTTGGAATGGCCTGCTCTGCCCTGGCCTACAATGGGTGAGGCACCAAGCTCTGCCTGGGCTAGTCTCCATAATGTGGCCCATGCCGCTCGCTGGCGTTTGGAAAACCTGTAGTGGGGGCTAGCCTAATCATGTGGGGCCTGCGTGCGCGTGAAAAACATGAGAATCTGCTGCCATGGGACCGTGTGTCGCTTAACATTATCACCATCCATATATGCTTGTAGTGGTTGATGGGGCAGGCGATCCCGCTCAGTCCGAACAGCCTCGCACCGAATAGTGTGGCTCGTTTTGGTGCAGATCAACTGGCTGATGCGAGCCACAGCGGCCATTGAATTCCAAATTGCATAGGTAGCTTGCTCGGTCTGATCAACAGATTCGGGATCGGGGGCTCGGACACAGTCCACTAGGTCGTGCGGGTTGATCCCCTGGAGATAGACGGCCCACTGGGTCCTCCGAAGCCATGGATTCGTCTCGTCTCGCTGGCTGGCCACGATCACCTGGGGGAGCTCTTCTCTTTCGGCATATGCTCTTTCCATCTGATCAATCACCTGACTATTATGATCAGACATTGCTAACAGATCAGCCCCGGGAATGGCCTCGGCTCCGAGGGTTTGAACGCGGATGTAATGGGACCCTAGCCCGTGATTAAACGCACGTTGGCATCGGACGATTCGAGTGAATTGCTGGATTTGTTGCTCCGCAGCTGATGAAGTATGCTGCCGCCGACGACCGCCCCGGTTTGTAGGGGCTACCCAGCTATGATGATCACGCCAGTGAACACGCATAGTGCTAATTGACCGGGCAACGAACTGGCACATCGGGCCTTGCTCGCATAAAATGCCATCTGAATAAACAGGCAAATTGGGAAGAGGCTGATTCACCACTAATAGTGGCTGCCATTCATCACATTCTGCCGTACGCTCCCATTGTTGAACTGCCTCGGCAATTTGGCGCGCTTTCGGCTTCGGCATCCGATGATTAGCAGATTGGAGGTGGCGAGAAACCTCTTTTGGTCGAACACCATATTCACATAGCTTACATACAATCACGGGCGTGGTTGATGGCTGGTGAAAAAGCTGATGTTCCATTGTGGTAGTGGGGGTAAGTAATGAAAGAAAACAGTGAAGGATAACTAAGATGAAAGAGATAGGAAAAGCAGAGTAGAAAGGGCGGGCAGGTTAGTGTGAGAAGAATTTCAAAATAGGCCGGGGGATCGTTTCAGCCCCCGTTACCCCACCTGCACACACTATATATAGAATACGATGATCGACATAGTGCGTTTCGGCCCGGGCCTTAGATTGACAGGTCAACCACTGATTCCCCACATATGCAGTGCTGCCACTAGCCACATAGGCTGGCCCTCAGCTCACCTAGGCAGGGCAGTCATCCCGTTTCAGTCCTTTCCCAGCCCATATAGGCTCAGCAGCCCATTAGCCAGCCAGTAAGGGCCCTCAGCCCATTCAGGCATGGCAGTCATCCCATTTCAGTCCATTCCCAGCCCATACAGGCTCAGCAGCTCATTGGCCAGCCAGGAAGGGCCCTCTGCCCGTTAAGGCATGGTAGTCATCCCATTTCAGTCCATTCCCAGCCCATACAGGCTCAGCAGCTCATTGGCCAGCCAGGCAGGGCATTCACTGCCCACACAGGCTCAGCAGCCCATTGGCCAGCCAAGGAGGGCATTCATTGCCCACATAGGCTCAACACGCTATTGGCCACACAGGAAGGGCACTCAGCTCAGCCCAGGTCATTCATTGGCCATCTAGGTCGCCCAGTCATCCCATCTCAAGGCAGTCGTTGCCCACATGGGCTCAACACGCCATTGGCCAGGCAGGCAGGGCATTCAGCCTTTCCTAGGGCATTAATTGCTCATATAGCACGGCATTCATCATATATATATATATAACAATTAGCCTAATCTGGTTTGAATGGCTGAATAACATGAATATGGTGAGCAACACGAATAGCTGAGCAACATGAATGGCATATATGTTAGGAATGGCTGAATAACATGAATGGCGGAGTAACACGAATGACTGAATAACATGAATGTGGTGAGCAACACGAATAGCTGAGCAACATGAATGTGGTAAGCAACATGAATGTGGTAAGCAACATGAATGGGTGAATAACATGAATATGGTAAGCAACATGAATAGCTGAATAACATGAATGTAGTGAGCAACACGAATAGCTGAGTAATATGAATGGCTGATCAACATGAATGGGTGAATAATATGAATATGGTAAGCAACACGAACAGCTGAGCAATATGAATGGCCTAATAACGTGAATATGGTGAATAACATAAATATGGTGCATATATAAATCTAGTGAATATATAAATCTAGTGAATAATATAAATATGGTGAGCAGCATAAATGCCATGCATAGTGCGAGTAACATGAATGTGGTGAAAAAAACCAATGGCTGGATCCCATGAATGGCATATATAGTGTGAATAACATGGATGGTTTGAAAGATATGATATGGGAATGGGAGTATTGTATGGCTGTAGTGCCAAGCCTTTCTTGTCCCCCATCAAAACATCTCCCATTTTTGATCACCCTCCACCCCACATATATATGCTCCTATATTCTAAAAATTAACAGAGATAAATAAATCACTCTATATTATAACCTCTGCAAATTTCAGATCCATCAGAGGTCTGTAGCCCTCGGCAGTGGGGGTGCGAAGTTTACCTGAAGTCAGGATGCGACCCGCTTATCTTATCGTGGTGACCAAGTGGCTGCCTCAGGCCCCGGTCGCACCTCCAGATTCCCGCACCCCATCAAAACATCTCGAAAAACCCGACATTTTCAATCACCATTTTCTCGACAACCAGAGGGCTGTGCATGCTCCGGAGCAAATAGGGGCAAATTCATATACGCCATTTTAACTTCCTAAATTTTCAGATCGATCAGAGGCCTCTAGACCAAAGGAGTCAGGGTGAGAAGTTAACCTGAAGTCAGGGTATGGACCCACTTTTCCTCCCATAGTAAAAGAAAAACCCTAACCTGGAGTCACCGTGACTCCAGGTACCCCCGTGGGATAGGAATCGGGGTGCTGATGAAATTCGGGGGGTCCCATTGATCGCACGCCTCGATACCATCCCAGTCCTGAATAGCTCGGCCGATCACACGTGCGTTTGGTAAACTCATATGATGATATGTGCCCTGAAGATGGGCAATCACTTGCTTTGGTCTGATACCAGAAGCACATTTCTTGCAAACGAGAACCGGCACAGTCGATGGTCGGTGAAAAAGTTGATGTTCCATTGTTGATTGAATCTCGTGAATCTCCTACGACGAAATGTGTATCTCTAAAAGTGGTAGTGATGGTAATCATGCAATGGATATTGAACACTAAGTATGGGGTACAAATAGTTGGAATATCTTCTGGTAATGACTGGGGACCTCATCAGACCCCCGAAATAATTTGTAACCTCCCCTGATCCTTGTAGACTGAGATACTGGAGGTGATACGATTCATCCTAAACCCTGGGCGTGATGCCTCAGGCCGCGGTCGCGACCGTGGCCGACCTCCACCGGTACCCGCACCCCATCAAAACATCTCCCATTTTTGATCACCCTCCACCCCATAGATATATGCTCGTTTAATCTAAAAAGTGGCTTACATATACTAAACACTCTATATTACAATCTCTATCAATTTTCAGATCCATCCGAGGTCTGTAGCCCTCGGCAGTGGGGGTGCGTAGTTGACCTGTAGTCAGGATGCGACCCGCTTATCTTATCGTGGTGACCGAGTCGCTGCCTCAGGCCTCGGTCGCACCTCTAGATCCCCCGTACCCCACCAAAAACATCTCCGATCTTTGATCGCTATTTGCTCGACCACTAGGACCCCGGGTCGGCTCAGATGTGAACGGGGGATATTGAACGTGGTCTATTAGAACTTCCCAAATTTTGAGACCGATCGGAGGCCGCTGGGCCTCGCCAGTCAGGGTGAGCAGTTAATTCCCAGTCAGCCCCCCCCCACTTTTTTTCTCCCATAGTAAAGCAAAAGCCCTAATCCCCAGTCAGCCTGACTGGGCCCCCTCCCGTAGGTTAGAGATAACTGTGCACATTCGACATTCGGAGTCGGCCGGCACTAGACTCGATGAAACGATGCTGGAGTGGTCTCTCGTTTCGGACCCGATTCACCATCCATTCGCTACCGGCTATAGGCCATACCGTACGGGTGTCTTTTAGAAAGCTCCACCCGTGCGCGGTCTCGGTGGGATCATCATAGATAGCCTGCCACGGGATCGTAGGAACTGAGCTAGCCTGACTAAACAGGAGCTCTTCGTGTAGTATCTGGCGTGTAGAGCTCACGAGGCCGTGTGTAAAGCCGCGGAAATCACCCATAGTGAAACTATACTGTTGATATAACAGCTGGTCTTGGTTCATCCAGCCAACATGGCCTGTGGTGGTGCTATTATAATAGATCTTCAAGCCGTAGGTGCGTAGATCTAACAGCCACTACATTAGACTATTAGTACCGCGGACCATAAACTGGCTGACCATCTCGGTCACCCACTCCCGGAATGATCGTTGGCGGTGGCCCTATGTGTGGCCCTGGCTAAACTGCATAAAGTGCGATGACTATACTACCCCCTGATCTCCATCGTTATCGTTGTAAAACCAATCGTCCGTTATTTACGTTAGAAACGTGAAATCAGGCGAATCTAACGGACTCTCTATATCCCATTCGCCAGCCATCTGATGCGTAGCTAGTTAGTAGATCATCTTCTCGGCCGTTAGGTCTAGCTTTAATACTTTATGGACCACCATAAACCGGGCAATCTTAATCACTTTTAACAAGATTAGGGGATAGCTCTAGGCAGTGCCCCAGCCTACCTCCCCACGTCCAAGCACCGCGCTAGCACAGATAAGCGCGCTCTCATAGTCCTCGACCTTAGTTCGGTGGTTCAATAGCTCAATACAAAAATCTAGACAGGCGGAGTCAAGGGGAGTGAGCTGAAAGGGAGATTCACTAGTGATTTGGTCCCGTTGGTCCTCGGAATCACTTCCTGAATGCATACTACTTTGGTCCGAACTAATCAGGTCTTCACTGCCCTGGCCGGCGTTGGAATGGCCTGTGTTAGAATGGCCTGTGTTGGCCTGCCCTGTGTTGGAATGCCCTATGTTGGCCTGGCCGGCGTTAGAATGGCCTGCCCTACCCTGGCCGGCGTTGGAATGGCCTGCTCTGCCCTGGCCTACGATGGGTGAGGCACTAATCTCTGCCTGGGCTAGTCTCCATAAAGTGGCCCATGCCGCTCGCTGGCGTTTGGAAAACCTGTAGTGTGGGCTAGCCCAATCATGTGGGGCCTGCGTGCGCGTGAAAAACATAAGAATCTGCTGCCATGGGACCGTGTGTCGCTTAACATTATCACCATCCATATATGCTTGTAGTGGTTAATGTGGCAGGCGATCCCACTCAGTCCGAACAGCCTCGCACCGAATCGTGTGGCTCGTTTTAGTGCAGATCAACTAGCTAATGCGAGCTACAGTGGCCATTGAATTCCAAATTGTATAGGCGGCCTGCTCGGTCTGATCGGGCGCTTCGGGATCGGGGGCACGGACGCAGTCCACGAGGTCCTACGGGTTAATCCCCTAAAGATATACGGCCCACTGGGTCCGGCGAAGCCATGGATTCGCCTCGTCTCGCTAGCCGGCCTCAATCAGCTAGGGTAGCGCATTCCTTTCGGTATAGGCCCGTTCGATCTGATCTATGAGCCGATCGCTAACCTCGGATGCTAGTGACGGATCGGCCGCGGGGATCGCCTCGGCCCCGAGCGTCTAAACGCGAATGTAATAAGATCCTAGGCCCTAGACAAATGCGCGCTGGCATTAGACGACTCGGGTGGATTGCTAAAGATGCTGCTCGGCGACCGATAGACCTAGCGGTTTCCTACGGCCGCTACGGTTTGCCGGTGCGACCCAGTGATGCTGTTCACGCCAGTGCTTGCGCATAGTCCCAGCGGTCCTCGCGATAAAACCACAGAACTGGCCCTTCTCGCATAACATACCATCCGGATATACCGGTAGATTGGGGATTGGGACCGTGACTACGGTCACAGCTTGCCATTCGTCGTATTGCTCTGCACGGTCCCAACGTTAAATCACGTCGCTAATACGGCGGGCAGTCGGCATAGGAAGCCGATAGTAGGGTGATTGAAGATGTCTCAAGACCTCTCGCGGTCTCACAGCATGCTCGCATCGTTTACAGACGATAACTGGGTCGGTCGACGGCCGGTGAAAAAGTTCATGTTCCATTATTAAAAATAGAAGTGGATTCGGCTGATAATGATATATGTATAGTAGTGCGTGCGTGAATGTGGTGAATGTTCAACACAAAGTCTACGGTAAAATTGTTTTAAAGTCATTCCGACCGTAACTGGGGATCGGATCCAACCCCCAAATCATCTATCTACTAACTCCCCTGATCCCGGTCGACGGAGATAGTTAAGGTGATACGACGGCCCATGCTCCTCCGTTAATTGCGGAAGTGATGCCTAAGGCCGCGGTCGCAACCCCGCCAAGTTCCTTACCCGCACCCCATCAAAACATCTCCGATTTTCAATCGCCAGGTTCTCCACAACTAGTACGCCGGCGCGGCTAAGATCGAAATGGGAGATAATATCTATGCTCGCTTAGAACTATGCAAATTTATAGACGGAACGGGGGTGATTTGGACCCTGAACCCTAGGTCGCAAGTTAGACTGAACCCAGGCGGGGCCCACTTCTTTTTCCGCCAATCGTAGACGGGAACCGGAAGCCCTAACAGCGAACTCTGCCAGAGTTCGCCCCCCCCCGTGGGATAGAGCGGGGGCATATATATATATATGTTTGATCTCTGTGTTGAACTGTGTGTTGATCTCTGTGTTGATCTCTGTGTTGATCTCTGTGTTGATCTGCGTGTTGGGTGTGTTGGGTGTGTGTGTGATGGGGGCATATATATATTCAACGTACCCAGTCGTCTCAGCATTAGATGCCTCCCCGCGCACCTTCTGTGTGTACGCCTCCAATCTCTCCACAAACGGCAGCACTAGCCATAGATACCAAACCACTAGCTCACCTACTTCCCGGGGTAGATACCGATGAATAACCTTCACGTCGTTCGTACTATAAAACCCTTTGTGGTACTGCGTAACAAACGCTACCAGACCATCTTCGACAAACACATTCCGGTGGCCTCCACTATTAGTATTGTAGTGCCGAATGCTTAACAGCTCTGGTGCCCGTGCAGGCTGGCCTCCGCTGACGTGAATAGCAAGAGCTAGTTTCTCGCGGAAATGGACTACCCGTTGAAGATAACTGTGCACATTCGACATTCGGAGCCGGCCGGCACTAGACTCGATGAAACGATGCTGGAGTGGTCTCTCGTTTCGGACCCGATTCACCATCCATTCGCTACCGGCCACAGGCCATACCGTGCGAGTGTCTTTCAGAAAGCTCCACCCGTGCGCGGTCTCGGTGGGATCATCATAGATAGCCTGCCACGGGATCGTGGGAACTGAGCTAGCCTGACTAAACAGGAGCTCTTCGTGTAGTATCTGGCGTGTGGAGCTTACGAGGCCGTGGGTAAAGCCGCGGAAGTCACCCATAGTGAAACTGTAGTGTTGATATAACAGCTGGTCTTGGTTCATCCAGCCAACATGGCCTGTGGCGGTGCTGTTATAATGGATCTTCAAGCCGTAGGTGCGTAGATCTAACAGCCACTGCATTGGACTGTTAGTGCCGCGGACCATAAACTGGCTGACCATCTCGGTCACCCACTCCCGGAATGATCGTTGGCGGTGGCCCTGTGTGTGGCCCTGGCTGAACTGAATAAAGTGCGATGACGGAGATGTGCCCTGATCTAGGCCACTGTCAAAGTTGTAAAACGAATCGTCCGTTGTTTGCGTTAAAAACGTGAAATCAGGTGAATCTAACGGACTCTCTGTATCCCATTCGCCAGCCATCTGATGCGTAGCTAGTTGGTGGATCATCTTCTCGGCCGTTGGGTCTAGCTTTAATGCTTTGTGGACCACCATAAACCGAGCAATCTTAATCACTTTTGACAAGATTGGAGGATAGCTCTGGGCAGTGCCCCAGCCTGCCTCTCCACGTCCAAGCACCGCGCTAGCGCAGACGAGCGCGCTCTCATAGTCCTCGACCTTAGTTCGGTGGTTTAACAGCTCAATGCAAAAGTCGAGACAGGCGGAGTCAAGGGGAGTGAGCTGAAAGGGAGATTCGCTAGTGATTTGGTCCTGTTGGTCCTCGGAATCACTTCCTGAATGCATACTGCTTTGGTCCGAACTGCTCAGGTCTTGACTGCCCTGGCCGGCGTTGGAATGGCCTGTGTTAGCCTGCCCTGTGTTGGAATGCCCTGTGTTGGCCTGGCCGGCGTTGGAATGGCCTGCCCTGCCCTGGCCTGTGTTGGAATGGCCTGCCCTGCCCTGGCCGGCGTTGGAATGGCCTGCTCTGCCCTGGCCTACGATGGGTGAGGCACTAAGCTCTGCCTGGGCTAGTCTCCATAAAGTGGCCCATGCCGCTCGCTGGCGTTTGGAAAACCTGTAGTGGGGGCTAGCCCAATCATGTGGGGCCTGCGTGCGCGTGAAAAACATGAGAATCTGCTGCCATGGGACCGTGTGTCGCTTAACATTATCACCATCCATATATGCTTGGAGTGGTTGATGTGGCAGGCGATCCCGCTCAGTCCGAACAGCCTCGCACCGAATCGTGTGGCTCGTTTTGGTGCAGATCAACTGGCTGATGCGAGCTACAGTAGCCATTGAATTCCAAATTGTATAGGCGGCCTGCTCGGTCTGATCGGGCGCTTCGGGATCGGGGGCACGGACGCAGTCCACGAGGTCCTGCGGGTTAATCCCTTGAAGATAGACGGCCCACTGGGTCCTCCGAAGCCATGGATTCGTCTCGTCTCGTTGGCTAGCCTCGATTATCTGGGGCTGCTCTGCCCTTTCAGTATATGCCCGTTCGATCTGATCAATAAGACGATCATGAAGGTGAGGCGTTGCTACCGAATCGGCCTCGGTAATGGCGTCAACTCCGAGGGTTTGAACGCGGATGTAATAGGACCCTAGCCCGTGATTAAACGCACGTTGACATCGGACGATTCGAGTGAATTGTTGGACTTGTTGCTCCGCTACCGAAGAATTCTGCTGGCGCCGACGGCCACCCCGGTGTATAGGTGCGACCCAGCTATGCTGATCACGCCAGTGGTTTCGCATAGTTCCAATACTCCGGGCGATAAAATGGCAAAACGGGCCTTGCTCACATAAAATACCATCTGAGTAAACAGGCAGGTTTGGAACTGGTTGGTTAACCACTAATGGTGGCTGCCATTCATCACATTCCGCCGTACGATCCCATTTCTGAACTCCCTCGGCAATCTGGCATGCTTTCGGCTTAGGGATCCGGTGATTCACGGATTGGAGATGTCGAAAAACCTCTTTTGGTCGAATACCATATTCACATAGCTTGCATACAATCACGGGCGTGGTTAATGGCTGGTGAAAAAGCTGATGTTCCATTGTGGTAGTGGGGGTAAGTAATAACATAAAACAGTGAAGGATAACTATGATGAAAGTGAGAGTAAAAGCAGAGTGGAAAGGGCAGGCAGGTTAGTATAAGAAGGATTTTAATATAGGCGGGGGATCGTTTCAGCCCCCGTTACCCCACCTGCAAAAACTATATATAGAATACGATAATCGACATAGTGCATTTCGGCCCGGGCCTTAGATTGACAGGTCAACCATTGATTCCCCACTTATGTAGGGCTGCCATTAGCCACATAGGCTGGCCCTCAGCTCACCTAGGCAGGGCAGTCATCCCATTTCAGTCTATGCTTTGCCTATATAACCTATATAGATCGTGAGGGATGTGTGTGTTGAATCTCTATGTGGGGGGATGTGTGTGAGGGAGAAGATGAGGGGTGGAGGATCTGTGTTTTGAATTTCTGTGCGAGGCGGAGGCACATAGGCAGAGCATTCAGCCTATTCAGGCATAGCAGTCATCCCATTTCAGTCTAATCTCGGCCTAGGAAGGCTCAGCAACCCATTAGCCAGCCATACAGAGCATTAACTGCCCACACAGGCTCAACACACTATTGGCCAGCCAGGCAGGGCATTCATTGCCCACACAGGCTCAACACGCCATTGGCCGGCCAGGAAGGGCCCTCACCCTATTTGGAGATGGCAGTCATCCCATTTCAGTCCATTCTCGGCCTAGGCAGGGTATTCACTGCCCACACAGGCTCAACACGCCATTGGCCAGCCATGCAGGGTATTCACTGCCCACGTAGGCTCAACACGCCATTAGCCGGCCGGGCAGGGCATTCAGCTCAGCCCAAGGCATTGATTAGCCACCAGGCATAGCAGTGATCCCATTTCAGTCTATTCTCGGCCCAGGCAGGCTCAGCAGCCCATTGGCCAGCTAGGAAGGGCCCTTAGCCTAATATTGGTTAAATGGCTGAATAACATGAATATGGTAAGCAATATAAATGTGGTGAGCAATGTGAATGTGGTGAGCGACATGAATGGCTAGGCAACATAAATAGCATATATGGTGGGAATAGCTGAATAACATGAATGTGGTAAGCAACACGAATAGCTAAGCAACATGAATAGGCGAGTACCGTGAATGTGGTGAATAACATGAATGTGGTAAGCAACATAAATAGCTGAATAACATGAATGTGGTAAGCAATATGAATGGCTGAATAACTTGAATGTGGTAAGCAACACGAATAGCTGAGCAATATGAATGGGTGAGTACCGTGAATGTGGTGAATAACATGAATGTGGTGAATAACATGAATGTGGTGAATAACATGAATAGGTGAATAACATGAATGTGGTGAATAACATGAATATGGTGAATGTTACGAGCCAAGTCTTGATGAAAAAGAGTGCGTTCAACTAGAATTCTAAACATAGGGAAGGAAGAAGGAGAGAGAAAGGGAAGAGAGAAGATACACCATATGGGTGCAAAAACTATCACATAACCACTCCCCCATCCGATCTCCAGATCGTAACATCACCCCTGGGTAAAAGTGCATTCAGTCCCTGAATGCAGGGCTTATCATCGTCAACATGGTTATCAAGTATCCTATCGTCCATAGCAGCCTCCATCCAATTCTATAGACGCAGTGGAGGTCCTGGCTTAGTAGGGTAAGCTTCATGAAACCTCTCGATCTTTGCTGCCGCGTTTTTGAAATTGCTCGCAGGATACTATTGAAGATCGAGGTTATGACCGAGCCACTGGACTCGATACTGCAATTTCCGGTAATGTAGTCTTGAATCTATGATTTTATCAACCTCCCATTCATCAGATTCTCCAACCTGGATCGGTGGAGGGGGATCGACATGCTGTTAATTAAGAGGTTCCGTAGTAGCGGCCTTACGGAGCTTGCTCGGGTTGAAGACTAGGTACACTCTGATAGACGGTGGTAGATCGACCTTATATGCATTTCCCACCTTTTCGATGATCTTGTATGGTCCACTAGCGGTGTGCGAGAGCTTCCGGCTAGGACGATCATGGAGCCAGTCCTTCGTTATAACAAACACCTCGTCGCCCACGTTGAAATCTTCTTCTCGGCGGTGCTTATTCGCCTGCCGGATCTGTAGTTGCTGGGAATCTAATGCTTGTTTTTTCACTTCCTACCAGATATCGTGTAGCCGAGTAAGCATGTCCGAAGCTTCTCGCTCGCTTAACGTTAAGTGACCGCGGTCTTTCTAGTCAAACGATATCATAGGATCATACCCTCGTTCCGTAAAGAATGGTGATATCTTAGTCGTGCTCTACGGGAGAATTGATGCCGCGAAATCCACTATTAGAAGGTAGTCTGACTAGTCGTCTTGATTATGTTCGATGTATAGGCGGAGCCGTTACGCTATATACTGATTTGCAATTTCACTTTGCCTATCGGTTTAGGGATAGTAGGCCGTAGACAACTTCCTCTTAATACCAAGGATTCGACAGAATTCAGTCTAGAACTCAGAGACAAACTAACCACCTCGATCCGACACGATAGAGGAGGGGATGCTAGTGGTTCGGATTACATAGTTCATAAACAAACGAGCTATCTTCTTCGCATCGGTATCCTTATAGTAGGGGATTGATATCGGTCTCTTGGTTAAACGGTCCACAACAACAAATACTACATCAAACCCGTTTTTATCCTTAGGGAATGATCGAAAGTCCATTGTGATATGCTCCCATGGTCTGTTCGGTATCTCTAGTGGGTGAAGAAGTCCAGGGGTCCGGTCTCTCCAGGCCTTTGTTCGTTTGCACACTAGACAGTTATCGATATATCTCTTCACATCGGTTGCCTAGCCAGGCTAGTGATACCGGGCTAAGACCAGCTTTTTTAACTTCTCGATGCCGGGATGTGCGGTCAGAGGTTGGCGGTGAATATCATCAAGTAATCGTGCTCGGAGATCGTCTTTATCAGGTATTTCAAGTCGGCCGTTAAATAACAGTAGGTCGCCCTATAATGTCCATCGCGAATCACTTCCTTCACGGGCTATATGTCGGAAACTGTCGAGTTCAGAGCTAGTTTGGTTCATAAATTTCACTCGTTTAATAATTTCATCAGGTACGAATACCTCAACTGGTGCAATCTACGGGTAGACTCCTTTTTCTAAACAGTCACTCGGAAGCATAGTGAGGTGACGCCCTCTATCAACACACGGGGTATCTTTCCGTGAGAGCACGTCCGCGATTATGTTGTTCTTTCCTAGACGATATTTGATCACGAAGTGGAACTGGGAAAGGAATTCGCTCTATCGAGCCTGCCTCTAGTTCATTTGTCGCGTAGTTATAAAGTATTCTAAAGACTGATGATCAGTAAGGATTTTAAACCGATCCTTTCGAGAGAGTCCTTCGAGTTCGGGCCGCCATTCCTGGAGTGCACGGATAATAGCGAGAAGCTCTTTATCCCGAATCTCGTAATTTCGTTCCGCAGTCTGCATGGTTTTTGAGAAGAATGTAATAGGATGCTAGCTTTCACTTTCGCTATGGTATTGTGTAAGTGCAGCTCCGATAACTCCGTCGGAGGTATCGGTCTCGACCCGAGTAAGTAAGGAAGGATCGTAGTGGCGTAGGATTAGGGCGGAAATTAGTCTCTTCTTTAACTCCTGGAACGCAGTTTCGTAAGTATTAGACCATTCGTAAGGCGTATCCTTGCGAGTTAACTAGTGTAGTGGTTTCGAAATCAAACTATACTTATCGATAAATCGTCGGTAGAAATTACAGAAACCAAGGAATGACTGTACGCCTTTTACTATTGCGGGGGGCCTCCATTCGAGGATTACCTTAATCTTTTCAGGGTTAATAGAGATGCCTTCTATAGTGACAATAAATCCGAGAAATTTGGTTCGCTAGACCGAGAATTCACACTTGGATAGTGTAACCTACAATCCGGCTTTTCGTAGACGAGAGAGAACCTCACGCACGTGCTACTAATGTTCCTTAAGGGTTAGGCTATAGATCAGGATATTATCGACGAATGCAATCGCGTACTCATCCATACATTCACGGAGAACATCGTTCATAAATCTCTAGAAGGTAGCCGGTCTATTGGTAAGTCCGAAAGGCATCACCTTATATTTATAGGATCCGTATCGGGTTCGGAACGTTATTAGATCCTCGGCATTTGCAGTGAGTCGAATTCGGTGGAAGCCTTACCGAATATCGAGCTTTGTGAAGAATTTCGCGGTACTCGTTCGTTATAGAGCCTTATTAATCAAGGGAAGCGGGTAACAATCTTTTTTAGTGATTGTATTTAACTTTCGAAAATCCACGTAGAACCGGAGACCTTTATTAGGCTTCTTCGCTATCAGGATCGGTGAAGCGTAGGGAGCGGAACTTGGTTCGATAAAACCCTTATCGAGGTTCTCCGTGATATACTTCTTCGCGGCTATCAGTTTATCGAGTGAAAGTTTGTAGAGAGGACAGTATCCGGGCTGTGCCTAAGCTTTAAGGATGATGTCGTGGTCGACACCTGATCGGTACGGCGGGAGTTTATCGGATTTCTTCTTCGAAAACATATCTGTAAGATCGTGGTACTGTCTAGGGAGCGTTTGTTTAATCTCACTAATCTTAGGGTCGCGATTGTTGCGCTGCGAGGTCTTCACTTCTAAGATATGATCAATTTTATAGAGTGATGTTGAAAAAACCTCGATCCCTTTGGTTTCTGCTTTCGTGTGTAGCCGATTGAATCCTACACGGCTAATTACCTATATATCGATCATAGCCGGGTTTGTAGATTATGTCGTAGACGGAGTACCATCCGTTCGTTTCTCCGGGTTTCGCTCTATGCTTTGGTGCCTCTAGGATGGAACGTAGTCCTTAAACAAACGATCCCTCCTATTAGTATTAACCTGATGTTCGGGGTTGACAGCTAGTCTGCGCAGAATTTCGGTAGGTGTAGGAAGGGCCATCTAACGGGACACCTCCTTAAATAGCGACGCTTTATTCGGCTAGATCATTCGATAACGACGACAGTTAAGAAGAACGTTATATTCGGCGAACCACATACGCCTAAGGATAATGTTATATCGACCAAGATCGGCCACTAGCATCGGGACTTGCTTGCAAATCCTTCTATCCACACAAAGAGAGAGGATAACGGCATGTGTGATTGGTTGAGCTCTCTTACCATTAAATCCAACCACCGGACATTCATGATCTAGTTTAAAAGTATTAAGACCGAATTGTTTTCTAAGTAACAACACTAGTGAAGTATCGATAAAGATAGAACCATTAGCTCCGGTGTCACTAAGGGCTGAAATAGAGAAGGAACGTCCATTATGCATAAGTTAGGTACTAAACACTAGGCTATTATTAGGACTTCTAAGCAGTTTCTGTAAATTCAGTCTATAAAGGGACACTTCTGTTCCGCCTAAGAGGGAGACTTTTCCTAGGCAGGAGCTTTTCCCGGATCCTCACGGTCATGCTCTAACTCTTCGAGGTCGACCATACGGGGAGAAGTAGTTGATATAGCTGATATAGCGAGTACCGCAGTCTTCTTTTTCGGGCAGTCGCGGGTCATATGTCCTTGCTCACGGCAGGAGAAGCAACGTCCTTCTCTTATCAAGGTCTGTCGTTCGTCGGTAGTTAATGTGGTTGGTTGAGTCGAGCCTTCGCGCTTCACACGGATAGAGGGAGTCTGACTCGGTGCGGAGGTAGTGCCTCCTCCTGCACCCGAGGTACGGGCTCGGGTTCCTGACCTAGACTTGGCTTCCATTTGAATGTTGATCTCGTGTAACATGCTCTAGCAGGTGAGGGTAAAAGTCTCAAACGGAACTGCCTCGCTATGGAGTGCCTATATCACCTAAGACTATAGAAGGTATGGCAGTTTCGAATGAAGGTCACGCTTTCGGTTCTCCACTACTACCCCTACCTCTTCTGCAAGCTGTATGAACTTAGCGAGGAAGTCGGCGTAATCATCCTTCGGTTTCATCTTTAATTTGTGGTATGCAGTGTACGCTTCGGCCTTCCGGTTCGGGTTCGAGAAAACAGTTCGGAGGTGAGAGATCACATTATTAGAGTCGACATAAGGGAGAGTCGCCGAGGGATTCATCCGGGGTGCAATATGTAACTGGGCCTTACCCTCGCAACGGCTCTGGACATAGAGCAGTCGATGAATAGGGAGTGGGTAGTGATCGGCGTTCGCCTCAAGCTTCTGTCTGATTGTAGTTTCCCAGGTCTCAAATCGCACAAGCTTGCCATCACTTAGCATCGGTGCATCTGGCATCTTCACTGATTTCTAGATGCGGGCCTCCACAGTCGGTGCGCCAACATTCCGTCCTTCCTATGACGCGAGGACACGGATTGCCAAAGCGCCGTGCTCCCGCCTTACATGTTCATAATAAGCAATAGCTTCATCCCGTTCGAGAGTTATCTCATCGACCTTCTTCTTCAGCTATATGAGTTCACCTTCAAGCTCCCGGTATCGGACGGCGAGCTCGTGGAAGCTTATCTTGGAGGGGGTATTAAGGTGTTCACGTAAAGAGGGATCCTCTTCCTTATCGTCGTCATCGATGACCTCTTCCTGCTCAACTCTCGCATTAGGGGTTGGAGTTGCTAGGTCAGGTGTTTCAACTTCTTCTTCTTCGTTGTCGCGCACAGCTGGCTGTCGGCCACGATGCGATGTGGTTCTCTTTGATCTAGCCATTCTGATTAGTTGGTGGATAAGGTTCGGTTCGGGGTCTTGGCTCTACGATGCCAAGGAACGAAGTGGGGTTAGACAGAACCGAGACCAATCATAATGAAGGTCTGTGCAGTTAACTGTCTAGTGAATGAAAAATGATGTTTAGAATTATGTTACGAGCCAAGTCTTGATAAAAAAGAGTGCGTTCAACTAGAATTCTAAATATAGGGAAGGAAGAAGGAGAGAGAAAGGGAATAGAGAAGATACACCATATGGGTGCAAAAACTATCACATGACCACTCCCCCATCCGATCTCCAGATCGTAACAGTGAATAACATGAATATGGTGAATAACATGAATAGGTGAATAACTTGAATGTGGTAAGCAACACGAATTGCTGAGCAACATGAATGGGTGAGTACCGTGAATGTGGTGAATAATATGAATGTGGTGAATAACATGAATATAGTGAATAACATGAATAGGTGAATAACATGAATAGGTGAATAACATGAATAGGTGAATAACATGAATAGGTGAATAACGTGAATGTGGTAAGCAACATGAATAGCATATATGGTGTGAATGGCATATTTTTAGGAATAGCTAAATAACCTGAATGCTATATATAGTGTGAGCAACGTGAATGTGGTGAAAAAAATCAATGGCTGAATCCTATGAATGGCATATAATGGGAATGGGAGTATTGTATGGCTGTAGTGCCAAGCCTTTCTTGCTCCCCATCAAAACATCTCCCATTTTTGATCACCCTCCACCCCACATATATATATTCATATAGCGTAAAAAGTGGCTAAGATATATAAAGCGATCTATATTATAACCTCTATAAATTTCAGATTGATCAGAGGTCTGTAGGCCTCGGCAGTAGGGGTGCGAAGTTTACATGAAGTCAAGATGCGACCCGCTTATCTTATCGTGGTGACCAAGTGGCTGCCTCAGGCCCCGGTCGCACCTCCAGATTCCCGCACCCCATCAAAACATCTCGAAAAACCCGGCATTTTCAATCACCATTTTCTCAACAACTAGAGGGCTGTGCATACTCCGATGTCAATAGTGGCAAATTCATATATGCCATTTTAACTTCCTAAATTTTCAGAGCGATCCGAGGCCTCTAGACCTTCGCAGTCTAACGACGAAAAGAACCTGCAGTCTAACGACGGACCCACTTTTCCTCCCATAGTAAAGGGAAAACCCTAACCTGCAGTCTTAAAGACTGCAGGTACCCCCGTGGGATAGGGGGGATTCGCTAGTGATTTGGTCCTGTTGGTCCTCGGAATCACTTCCTGAATGCACACTGCTTTGGTCCGAACTGCTCAGGTCTTCACTGCCCTGGCCTGTGTTGGAATGGCCTGCTATGCCCTGGCCTGGCTGGGCTAGTCTCCATAGTGTGGTCCATGCCACTCGCTGGCGTTTTGACAACTTATAGTGGGGGCTAGCCCAGTCGTGTGGGGCCTACGTGCGCGTGAAAAACATGAGAATCTGCTGCCATGGGACCGTGTGTCGCTTAACAGCTTCACCATCCATATATGCTTGTAGTGGTTGATGGGGCAGGCGATCCCGCTCAGTCCGAACAGCCTCGCACCGAATAGTGTGGCTCGTTTTAGTGCAGATCAACTGGCTGATACGAGCCACAGTGGCCATTGAATCCCATATTGCGTAGGCAGCCTGCTCGGTCTGATCGAGAGATTCGGGATCGGGGGCTCGGACACAGTCCACTAGGTCGTGCGGGTTGATCCCTTGGAGATAGACGGCCCATTGGGTCCTCCGAAGCCATGGATTCGTCTCGTCTCGCTGGCTAGCCTCAATCACCTGGGGCTGCTCTGCCCTTTTAGTATATGCCCGTTCGATCTGATCAATAAGACGATCATAAAGGTGAGGCGTTGCTAACGAATCGGCCTCGGGAACGGCCTCTGCTCCGAGCGTCTGAACACGAATATAGTGCGATCCTGGCCCCTGGCGAAACGCACGCTGGCAACGGATAGTTCGGGTGAATTGCTGAATCTGCTGTTCAGCTGCTAATAGACCTTGTTAGCGCCGACGACCGCCGCGGTTTGTAGGTGCAACCCAGCTATGATGATCACGCCAGTGGTATCGCATCGTCCCAATCGTTCGGGCAACGAATTAGCAAAATTGGCCTTGTTCGCATAATATACCATCCGAATAGATTGGTAAGTTAGGGATTGGGGTGTTAACCACGGTTAGTGGCTGCCATTCGTCGCATTCCTGTATATGGTCCCACTGTTGTATGGAAGTATAAATACTACGAGCAGTTGCCTGACTCAACCGATGATATGGCCCTTGAAGGTGCCTGATTATGAACTCCGGCTTTACTCCGAGCTCACATTTCTTGCATACGAGGATTGGGATACTCGATGGTTGATGAAAAAGTTCATGTTCCATTGTAGTAGTGTAGCCGAGTAATGATACAAAACAGTGAAGGATAAATAGAGTGAAAAGTTAGAGAAAAAGCTAAGTCGAAGAGTGCAGGCAAATTAGTGTAAGAAGAATTTTAATATCGACGGGGCATCGTTTCAGCCCCCGTTACCCCTCCTGTTTGCACTAAATATATATATAATACGAAGATGGACGTTGCATAATTTAGCCCGAGGCGTTAAATTGACACATCAAACCACCTATTTCCCCACATAGGCAGGGCATTCATTGGCCAGCCAGGCAGCGCCTTCAGCCCGTTCAGGCATGGCAGTCATCCCATTTCAGTCCATTCCCAGCCCACGCAGGCTCAACACGCCATTGGCCAGCTAGGAAGGGACCTCGGCCTATCCCAGGGCATTCATTGCTCATATAGCACGGCATTCATCATATATATATATAACAGTTAGCCTAATATGGTTTGAATGGCTGAATAACATGAATATGGTGAGCAATATGAATGTGGTGAGCAATATGAATGTGGTGAGCAATATGAATGGCATATATGTTGGAAATGGCTAAATAACATGAATATAGTGAGTAACACGAATAGCTAAGCAACATGAATGGCTGAATAACGTGAATGGCATATATTGTTGGAATAGCTGAATAACATGAATGTGCTAAGCAACACGAATAGCTGAGCAACATGAATGGGTGAATACCGTGAATGTGGTAAGCAACATGAATGGCTGAATAACATGAATATTGTAAGCAACACGAATAGCGGAGCAATATTAATGGCTTAATAACGTGAATGTGGTGAATAACATGAATGTGGTGAATAACATGAATGTGGTGAATAACATGAATGTGGTGAATAACATGAATATGGTGAATAACATAAATATGGTGAGCAGCATAAATGCCATATATAGTGTGAATAACATGAATGTGGTGAAAAAAACCAATGGCTGGATCCCATGAATGGCATATATAGTGTGAATAACATGGATGGTTTGAAAGATATGAAATGGGAATGGGGAGTGGTGTTGACTGTAGTGCCAAGCCTTTCTTGTCCCCCATCAAAATATCTCCCAGTTTTGATCGCCCTCCACCCCACATATATATGCTCATATAGTCTAAAAATTGACCAAGATGAATAAAACACTTTATATTATAACCTCTGTAAATTTCAGATCTATCAGATGTCTGTAGCCCTCGGCAGTGGGGGTGCGCAGTTTACATGAAGTCAGGATACGACCCGCTTATCTTATCGCAGTGACCAAGTGGCTGCCTCAGGCCCCGGTCGCACCTCCAGATTCCCGCACCCCATCAAAACATCTCGAAAAACCCGGCATTTTCAATCACCATTTTCTCGATAACCAGAGGGCTGTGCAAGCTCCGATGCGAATGGGGGCAAATTCATATATGCTATTTTAACTTCCTGAATTTTCAGATCGATCAGAGGCCTCTAGACCAAAGGAGTCAGGGTGAGAAGTTAACCTGAAGTCAGGGTGGACCCACTTTTTTTCCCCTATAGTAAACGGAAAACCCTAACCTGTAGTCAGCCCTGACTCCACACCCTCCCGTGGGATAGCCAGAACTTGGCTTCCTAGATTGCTTTGTGTGATTTATGAGACACGCCAGGCTTCGCAATTAATGATTATTTACTATGTATCAGGATGATACTATTGGCGCAATGACCTATGAAGTCACCATCGTCACTTATTCCCGCCATGGTTGAAAATATTTTCGAGAATATTTCTTTCGACACAAATGACAAGTTCCTGGTCGTATCACGTTTTTAAGTCACGTTGTCACGGCATTTTTGGAGCCGAAGGAGTCAAACAGGCTAAAAAGTGTTGATGGTGGCCAGTGGGGCTAATCGACAGGCAGATGAGAACATCGCTAGTTTGTTTAAATTAAAGTTCGACTGCGTGCTGCACGTTCCTTCGTTATCCACGCAAAATTCATTCGCTCTGATGGACAGTCCGGTCAATATAGATCCAGCGCCTACTCCGTTAGCAGCCGAAATTGGTAGGCTGACCTTTTAAGGTTGGTCACTGGCACGGCTTATAGGTACAACCACTCATTCTTGGTTTATTGAGGCAGGGAAGCAGTAGAGATATCGATCGGACTGATCTGCTGCTCATTATCGCTCTTCTTCTAAAGCTATGTGCTCCCGCCGGGATCATTTTTGTCGCTATAGCAACACTTGGTAACGGTTTGAGCAGAGGCCTGTAGCCGCGGCACGTTTTGGTTGTAGGATGATTGCACTGGACGTACTGAAATCATGGGCTATGCTTCTTTTGACTAGCGTAGGGTCCGCATGGTGAGACCCGCATGGAGGTCCCTTGGCTTCGATCGGCCTCAGCGGAGTCTTAAGGCCCCATAGTCTTAGCCATCGAAGCAGACCAGAACTCCCATTCTAACTTGGTTGACAACCTCAAAAGCAAAATTTGATCGATATTGAGCGCGTCTCCACTCTTAATTTCATGGCTCTCGGTGCGAATTCTATAAGTTTGCACAACTCACCTTGATGTGAAGATTTCTTGGGAGCCGCATGCCCAGAGATTCTCGTACTCGGGCCTTGGCATATGTGGGTCATCAGCCTATGTGTGGTCGTATCAGCAGGTACGCCGGGTTCCTGGGGTGACATTTCCATGGAATATCTGCACGACTTATGCAGCTTACTTGAAACAAAACGAATTATCGCAGATTGCTTCGTGTAGCTTGATTCCCTGCCGACAATTGCTGAGCGGGGAGCACGGAACCGTGGACAACAGGGTCCACTACTCAAGATATAAATCCCCGAGTAATACGCCGATATCACCGCTTTGCTTCATCTATTACACTCTCTAGCACCACTAGTACTTTCGTCTGAGAGCAGAATGGCGTCCGTAATAGCTCTTCTATTTCTTATTGGTGCGTCTGCCAAAGCAGGTATGTTTTCCTTCTATGATTCATCAACTCAACTCTAAATCAAGCTAACAGTCATTCTAAGACAAGATGCTAGTGCAACACCTACTACCCCAATCCTTCAGTCTGGTGGACCTGATACGTGCACCACCAGCTCTACTAGTAGCTAATGGTTGAGCATGTGCGACACGACTGTGTTCTGGCCCACGTTAACCAACTACTTCTACGGCCCGACAGACGGTCCCGGGGCAGCCGCTGTCACCTGTAATGCATTATGGGTTGAATTCAACGGACGTGCTAGTGGACTATGGTCCCTGGGTGCAACGTTCACGTCCACTATCTATTCATCCTATCTCACGAGCAGCGGGGCTTGTACAACCGAAGTCCGGGGTGAAGACCTTCGCGATACGCATACCGGTCCTGTTACCACACTCTGCGATGGGGCTACACGTGCTCTAGGCCCTCGAGAATCCATCACCGAGTACTGGCTAGGTACAGGTCCATGTAGTTCTTCCATGGTCACCGAGACCACGACTACATTGGTCTACCGATCACCCTTATCGACTCCTAGCTGCACGCTAAATACCCAGGAATGCATTCCAATCTGGCAGACTTATAGCAGTCTGTCGAGCGCATTTCACTCCCCCGGCACTACTGAAGTTTGGGGGGACATCAATAATCCTATCAGGCCGGAAAGCTGCCCATCTACAACAAGAGACTACTCAGATCCTGATGTATGCAATAATTGTCATTATCTCCTAGGGACAGCAACCGTATTTTACTGGCCAGTCACCACAACTGGAGCTGTCTGCCTGGAGAACGGAACGATCATTCTAGCAACGCAAACGGGAGATGGACCCAATACTGCCGTCGTTGACGGCAATACCTTCATCTCTCTAAGCGTTTACGTTTCCTTTACTAGCATCGAGGCACGAAGTAACCAGCGTGCTCACCCTAGTGGCCCCTGTGGTGGGGAGCACGAAAATGTCATTATTTCTGTTGCTCCCGAAGCGATTACATCGTATCGTAGGCATAGAAACGCGAAATACCCGATTATTGGGACTGCTTACCCTTTCAATCTCGCCGAGTTCTAACGGCACTAGGTCGGAGACTATCACATGTCTCTAATCCCCTGGGAGCAGTATGTTGGTGGGTCTTAGTGCTTGACCGGGGATGATTGTAGCATCATTCGCGATGACTATCTCCCGTGGCTCGAGGTGCCAGACGTTATGACGCAAGTTGATCCCCTGTGGACTAGTTGTCACCGGTCTTAGTATATGCCACCGGTTAGTCTTGTGCCGCTAGGTGGTGGACTAGAGTCGCAACCAACGGGCGCGGCGGTTACAAGTACTCCCACAGCCACTTTGGCGCTGCCTTCGTCGAGACTTGCTGCGCCTACTCCCGAGGCTACCTAAGATCACAGTAATCTTGTTTGCTTCAAAGCATCCGGTTAGCTTAATGAATCCCATTTTGTTTAGGAGCGAGTACGAACTGTGGTCTCGGCCTTTTTGGCAATTTTCTTGTCACGAGCAGTAACAAGAAGATGATAAGGCTGAGAGACTGAATTTCCTATTAAATTAATATCTTAAAGGATTATTCAAAAAGCTTTTAGAAATATTTCGGTAATAATCAAGGATCGTCTTAGATGATAGGCAACAGCGAAGGGGTTACGCTGTCACGAAGAATTCACGATCATAGATCTAGAACCGGTTCTGCCGTCTCCCACCGCCCCTTTTTAGAACCAGGTTTGCATTAACGTAATCGGTAAGCGAGCTGCGCATGTAAGCCAGCTGCGCATCTAATTTGACTTATTAAATGTCGGTATGCTCACTCGCCCTGGCCAATAAGAATGTATAAATGCTCTGTCTTTTATTACCCCTGGTTCTGGCAATTTATAGGGGGATCTAACATGACTAAGTAATTACAAATAATAGTGGATCCTTGCTGGCAATTCACCGACATTAAATTTAAATGTATGTTTCTCAACCAAAACGCCATTTGATTTCACAAATTAACTAACTAGGTCTATTTGGATATGAATTCTTCCTATAGCCCTGGTTTCCACATCCCGCACACTTCGGTAAGGCCCTGGTTCGGGGCTGTAAAGGCCCCGAGATCTGCTCACGAATAGACTACGACATCGCCCGTCCATAGGCACCTAGGAGGTGCCCATCGCCCGTCCACGGTGGGCGGTGGGCTATTTGGATTTTCGAGTGCCCGTCCACAACGCCCACCGCCCACGGGCATGCCCACTATGCCCACTATTGCATAAAGTCACCCAAAATAGACGTATAACTCGCTGACTTGACACATTAAATAACTGTTATTTATAGCTATTTTACCAACTCTATGTAAGATCGCGGTTTTAATCTACAACATCTATAAATTTTATTGAAATATCTGAGTATATGAAAAACTATAATATATATGATACGACGTGGAATAAATTCCTTATCGAAATACACCATGTTGTGTGGTATTTTTATTAACTTATCAAATCATGCTGTAACAGTTTGAAGATATATATTCAAGTCAGTGGTATATACCTGCTATTTTCTACAAGTAAAATACTACTCATGTATTCTACTTTATCTCTCGTTTAGGTATATTTCTTATAGGTAGATCGAAAGAGCATTAGTATAATTCTTATTCTACGAGCTTATATCACTAAATTCCGTCTATTCTATCACTAAAAAACTTAAGTTATTATTCTAGGAGTTTTTAATCCTTCGATTATAACTCGAGATAGGCGTTTCCGTAGGCGTGCCCACGGGCATGCCCATAGACAAAAGACCCTTATAGCCAATCAGCTTATAAAGGATAGTAGGTCAACACTTGATTTATGATATATCAGATCTATACAAGCACCCCTTTTACTAGTAACCCTCTTTTTATATAGTCGCAACTTGCGACTCGCAAGTTGCCTAATATAAGTTAATATCATACACTCTCCCTTAGTCTTTACACTATCCCTTATATTATATTCACTATGTCCTAACCTAGTGCCTATACCGCAGGGCCCTCTTCGCTTCCTCCGAGCTCCTAACCAGACCTCTCCTACGTCGACGATATATTTAATGTGAAGGGCTGTAGCTGAATTGATTCAATTAGGGCTAGGCCAACATGCTGTTTACATTCATCTTGAGGAAAGGAACTATCTGACGCGGGGTTCTCCATAATAACCCCAGGTGTGGGTCACGTGGTAGCACGTGATATCCAATGGGCTCTAGCCCGTGACATTTAATCCCAACCTTGATCTAAATATTAATCCTAGTCTCTTTAACAGCTAACAGACTTCTATATCAGTAATAAAGTCTAAGTTCACTTAACCGGCCCTTCTTAATTGCTCCCTTAAACGTATCGGCCCCGATCGGAGAAAGCAGTTTATCCTCTACGACGCGATAAATAACACGTCTAAAGCAAAGTTTATTAAGTAGTGGCGCACAATAGTACGCGGCAGCGATACTAAGACATAATAAAGGCTACGATAGGATGCAAAACATATATCGGATGTCTAGGAGAACTTCGACCAGGTAGTATATTATTTTATAGGCAAACCTTTGGTTATATGTCGGACTTATAGGGCCACACTACCTTATCTAAGCGCGAAGTAAAGCGGCACTAATACACTAAAGCAGCATATAACCTTAGGTAGATGCTAAAAGGGTGGTAAAAGCAAGTCTATATTGTCACGGGCCAGAGCCCATTAGATATCACGTGCTACCACGTGACCCACACCTGGGGTTATTATGGAGAACCCCGCGTCAGATAGTTCCTTTCCTCAAGATGAATGTAAACAGCATGTTGGCCTAGCCCTAATTGAATCAATTCAGCTACAGCCCTTCACATACATTCATCTTCCGATTCGAATCGTTAAACACCACCGGAAAGCCCTAGAAACAACCATCTAGGCAATAACAGAAGAAACAATTCGTACCGTGGATCCCCACCGATCCACCCACGAAACACCAACGGAACGGAACGGAAGCAACCGAGCATAATCAATGGAGTCTCAGGAGCAACAACAGGTCCCTCAGTGGGCAGCGCTCATGATGCAGCGGCTGGAACAGAACCAGCAGGCACATGACCGTGCAATGGAACAACAGGCCGAGCGAATTAGAAAGCTTGAAGGACTAGTAGCACAGATCATAGTCAACAACAAAAACAACGGAATGGATGGTGGAGAGGATCGCCACCGATCCGCGACCGAAACGCCATCGGAACAGACGAACGAGATTCAGGAGGAGCCCCATCGCCTACCGCGACCAAGGCTCCCTGACCCCGCACTATTCGCAGGCAGCGTTAAGGACTGGCCTACTTGGCGAATCACGATAGAAAACAAGCTCGCGATTGACGGCCCAGCCATCGGGTCGAGATCCGCCCAGTTTGTTTACGTATTCTCACGACTGGAGAAGCTAGCATGGAAGAATACCGGAACGTTCGTGAAACACCGCCGGGACACTGCCGGACCAGAAGACCTGATTGGATACCTAGAGACCATTTATGGTGATCCGAACGCACAGGCAAGAGCAGCCCGTCGGCTCCACCAGATCACTCAGGCCGAGGGGACCGCCTTCTCTAAATTCCTGCCACGGCTAGAGAAGGAGTTCGCCGACGCTGGAGCTCTGGATTGGCCCGACGAAGCGAAACGACAGATCTTGCTAGGATCGTTAAATAGCACTATGAGCGGTCCGCTTATGAATCGTGGCATTCCCGCTACCTTTTCGGGACTTGTTAGCCGACTACATGAGATTAGCACGGATATAGACGCATTGAACAGCAATAAGCCGTCCTCACGTCGTACCGCGAAGCTAAACAACAGCGACGAAATGGACTGGACCCCGACGATTACAATCAACCGTACGGATGCCTATGAAGATCGTAGGCGTATCGGCACCGAGCAGCAGCCGAAACGGGCTCGGTGGGCTAGTGAAGACGAAATGCACGACCGCCGTCGAGAAGGGAGATGCCTTCGTTGCGGTAAAACAGGGTGCCGTATTGCTGAATGCCCTTACCTGCCGGCTAAAAGGCCGGAGTCGAACCGAGTAGCAGCTAGCTCTGCGAACGAAGAAGGTCGTTTCACCGCCGAATCGGAGGCGAAACCAAAACGAAAAACACGCGTGAGGAAGTCGAAACCAGTTGCCGAGAGCGAGTCGAGCAACGATGAATACGCGACAACCAGTAGTAGCGAGTCGGAAACCGAATAGGTCCTGTTCTGAGCTGCGAGTAGGAGCGAAAGGGGGTCGAGAAGCTAGCGATCCGACGCCGCATACAGTCCGGTTAGATGTGCCAACTGGCGTTCATCCAGTGTTCCACGTTGAATTGGTGCGGCCGGCTGCATCGGACCCGTTTTCGTCACAAATCGTTGACGATATGCAGCCGGCACCAATTGAAGTCGATGGCGAATTGGAATATGAGGTGGAAGAGATTCTCGACTGGCGAGAGAAGCGCGCTGGTCGAAACACGCAGATAGAAGTGTTGGTAAGATGGGCTGGTTATGCAGAGACGACATGGGAGAGATTGGACGTTGTAGAGAATTGTTCGGCATTGGATAGGTACGAGAAGCGATTCGGTCCCGTTCCGGGACCTTCTCGCCACCGGATCGACGACGACGGAGACATCGTTATCCCCGCTGTGAGATTACACCGTTGTTAAAGGGAGAGGAGGGGGTACTGTCACGGGCCAGAGCCCATTGGATATCACGTGCTACCACGTGACCCACACCTGGGGTTATTATGGAGAACCCCGCGTCAGATAGTTCCTTTCCTTAAGATGAATGTAAACAGCATGTTGGTCTAGCCCTAATTGAATCAATTCAGCTACAGCCCTTCACATTCTCGACTGGTCCCCTCGCCGTGGGCAGTGGTTCTCAGAGACACATTCCCTCGACGCACTGGTTCGCATGTGCGCACTGGCGCCCCCGTAGGTTTGACTAGACTGCGACATCGCCCATGGACGGGCTGGTGGGCATTGCCCATGGGCCTTATGTAAGCGGGCAATGCCCACCGTGGGCATGCCCATGGACGGGCCCTACCCTTAGGGCCTATAGCCCATGGGCGTCGTGGGCGCCCATGGGCCTTTTTAGTAAGCAGAATTCCTTGACCTCGTGACTTGCATTATTTGTGCATTTTAGCTCTGTATTTTTAAGTAATTTGATTACATGTAGACAGCAGTGGCATTGGCATACAGTAGGTTTAACAGGCATTTATTATAGACATACATTCACACTAATACGATACAAATTGATCATCACTAGGTTTGCCACGCTTCCTTGCTTCTCTTAACCCAGGGCGCCTTTGAGTGCCACTCTCATCTCCATAAAGAGGGAGATGAGGACTGCTCTCATCTTCGCTGTCGACTAGCTCACTTCTCTGTCGCTTCCGCGCACTTAGCACTATAGAAGGACAAGGAAGCTGACTCGCCATTACAAACTCGTGCTCGATCAGTCCGATAGGATCATTATCCTCGCAATCCTCACTATCGCTGATTGGTTCAGGCATATTAGTGGTAAGCTCAGCCTCTCTCTGTTCGTCTGCTTCTTGTATAGAATCTAAGGACATATCCTCATCGGGTAGATCTTCTATTTCAATGTCGAATTGGGTTCTACACCGGAACATTATGATATCCTGGACTGTCTTCGCACTCAGCCGCCCACGCCGGTAGTGGCAGACATCCCGTGCTGAATTAAAAAGACGTTCAACTCTAGCGCCTGTTGCGGGAATAGAGAGAGTGTCGCGAGCAACACTTGAGAGAATCGGGAATTCATTCTCATATTCCTTCCAGAATTGCAAAGGATCGACTTTTCTCCTTGCTATAATAGGTATAAGTATTCCCGCTCGTAATAACAGTGAATATAACGTACGCTTTTCAAGATATCTAGCGAGTTCGTGCTCTGATGTTGATAGATTGGAGTGAATGTGAGGCCGAAGGTCGAGGAGAGCGTCTAGGTCACTTGTACTGGCTAAGTGACGGTAGGGGGGTTGCTCTCCTCGTAGGGATTGTGTCTGGGTGTGTCTTTGGGCGTAAGGAGCTATGAACTGGCGAAGCGTTTCCTTGTACTGATCACTCCATTTTGTGTCGTTCTCCGACGTACCCCACGCCTTACTTGAGAAGAAGTGAAGCTTATGCTGGGGTGCAAGAATTGTTCTAATCGCGTAGAGACTACTATGGATCTCTTTCGTCTTTGTGTAGTAAGATGAAAGCTTTGCCATCCTAGCATTGAGGGCTTGTAGCATCGCCTTCTTCCAAGGTATGGTTTTCGGAGTGAGTCGTGCGATCGATTCCTCGAAGTGCTCGAAGAGGGCGTTATAAATACCAAAAACATGATGTACCGTTATTTCTTTGGTCTTTGAAAGCACTGTGGTAAAGCGGTAGAAAGGCTCTGTGATATACAGAAGGTAGTCGACCTGCCGCCATTCTGCCTTACTAAGTTTGTATTTCTGGGTCCCAATGTTATCACAGTATTCATCGTAGGGCTTGCTAAGGCGTTTCGCACGACGAAGCATTAGGAAGGTTGAATTCTAGCGTGTACGGACATCTTGGATAGGCGCAAGTTTCGTTCTATTGGTCTGGAGACGGAAGAAATCATCGCGACGTTGGGGGCTTGCATTAATGAACACAGCAAGCCCTCGAATCTATATATTTATTAGGTATGTTAAATAATAAAAATAGTAACATACTTACCTTAATAAGGGTTTGTACAATGACTTGTTCACTCTGGGAAGCACGGAGCGATCGAGCTTGGGCTTGGGCTTGGACATCTGAAACATTCCGATCTATAATATCGTTCTGGGGATCGGCCTTCACTGATCCAAGTAGCTCGCGAAGGCTTAGCTGGATAACATGTGCAAGACAAGGGATTCGAACAACCACTGGGCTATTCGGTAGTTCAAGGGAGTCAATAGAGTCTTGAACTGCCTGTACCAAAGTTGTGTTATTTGATGCGTTATCTGATGTAATCGCTAACACGCGATCAGTAATATCAAGCTTCTTAAAGATCTCTATAAGCACTTCACTTAGATTCACACCAGAATGCGCCCTATCAAGTGGTTCGAAACCAAGTAGGAGCTCACGGTAATTCCAGTCTCGGTCGATAAAGTACCCTGTGATCGCCATGAATGCTTGCTGAAAAGGCGATGTCCAGCAGTTAAGGGCGATTGAGAGCTTCGCATCTTTTGGTAAGGTAGCGAGAATTGTATGCTGCTCCTCATCGACCAATTTCTTTAGCCGGCGTTGAGCAGTGCGAGGATGGAGTAAAGTAGGTTTAGCTGGAGCCTTTTGTGCCATTCGAATCAAGGAAGCAAACTGTTTCCTCTCAAGTATCCGGAAAGGTAGGTTTAGACTGGTAAGACATTCAATCTGCTCTCTTTCCTATTTATCATTCGAGAATTTTGAGATATAAGAAGGCTCTAGTGCCTAATGTATAGTAGTGTTAGTTATCTTAAAGGGTATAATCATATAAGACTTACCGATATATGCTGTATAGTCTCTTTAATCGACCGTTGTGTAGACTTGCTTTTACCACCCTTTTGGCATCTACCTGAGGTCATATGCCGCTTTAGTGTGTTAGTGCCGCTTTGCTTCGCGCTTGGATGAGGCAGTGTGGCCCCACAAGTCCGACACATAACCAAAGGTTCGCCTGTAACATAATGTGCTACCTGGTCGAAGTTCTCCTAGACATCCGATGTGTGTTTTGCATCCTATCGTAGCCTTTGTTGTGTCTTAGTATCGCTGCCGCGTACTGTTGTGCGCCACCACTTAATAAACTTTGCTTTAGACGTGTTGTTTATCGCGTCGTAGAGGATAAACTGCTTTCTCCGATCGGGGCCGATACGTTTGAGGGAGCAATTAAGAAGGGCCGGTTGAGTGAACTCAGACTCTATCACTGATATAGAAGTCTGTTGGCTGTTAAAGAGACTAGGATCAATATTTAGATCAAGGTTAGGATCAAATATATCGTCGACGTAGGAGAGGTCTGGTTGGGAGCTCGGAGGAAGCGAAGAGGGCCCTGCGGTATAGGCACTAGGTTGGGACATAGTGAATATAATGTAAGGGACAGTGTAAAGACTAAGGGAGAGTGTATGATATTAACTTACATTAGGCAACTTGCGAGTCGCAAGTTGCGACTATATGAAAAGGGGGTTACTAGTAAAAGGGGTGCTTGTATAGATCTGATATATCATAAATCAAGTGTTGACCCACTATCCTTTATAAGCTGATTGGCTATAAGGGTCTTTTGTCGATGGGCATACCCGTGGGCACGCCCACGGGAATATGCCCAAACGCCCATCTCGAGTTACAATCGAAGGATTAAAAACTCCTAGAATAATAACTTAAGTTTTTTAGTGATAGAATAGACGGAATTTAGTGATATAAGCTCGTAGAATAAGAATTGTACTAATGCTCTTTCGATCTACCTATAAGAAATATACCTAAACGAGAGATGAAGCAGAATACATGAGTAGTATTTTACTTGTAGAAAATAGCAGGTATGTACCACTGACTTGAATATATATCTTCAAACTGTTACAGCATGATTTGATAAGTTAATAAAAATACCACACAACATGGTGTATTTCGATGAGGAATTTATTCCACGTCGTATCATATATATTATAGTTTTTCATATACTCAGATATTTCAATAAAATTTATGGATGTTGTAGATTAAAACCGCGATCTTATATGGAGTTGGCAAAACAGCTGTAAATAACAGTTATTTAATATGTCAAGTTAGCGAGTTATACGTCCATTTTGGGTGACTTTATGCAATGGTGGGCATAGTGGGCATGCCCGCGATGGGCATGCCCGTGGGCGGTGGGCGTTATGGACGGGCACTCGAAAATCCAAATAGCCCACCGCCCACCGTGGACGGGCGATGGGCACCTCCTAGGTGCCCATGGACGGGCGATGTCGCAGTCTAGGTTTGACATGCTCTTTGGGGTGCGAGGTCTCTGCCTTCGCACCCGCCGTTATTGAAATTTTTCACACACGCCGTACGCGACGATGGCCTATCGTCGTAACTTCTCGGTCGTGGCGTACGCAATAACGCTCTCTCTAGGCCTACGGATATACTCTCTCCGTGCCCTCCATCATTATAATTTTTCACACACGCCGTACTCGACGATGGCCTGTCGTCGCATTCCGGTCGTGGCGTCCGTAATGATGGGTCCGGGTCAGCGAGGCTACTACCTTCGCCCCCTTCGCCGCTGTAACTTTTCACACACGCACCCGCGGGTCGTGGCGTACGTAGCGACGGACTAACTAGGCCTGCGAGGATTCTTTCCTCGCAGCCTTCGTTATTGAAATTTTTCACACACACCCTTCTCGGTAGTGGCGTACGCAACGACGATTCTACTGGGTCTGCGAGGTCGCTACCTTCGCACCCTCCACTATTGTAATTTTTCACACACGCCGTACGCGACAATGGCTTCTTGTCGTAACTTTTCGGTCGTGGCGTACGCAATAGTGGCCTGACAATGCCAGTTGCTGGGTCCATTACTGGCCATCCCTTCTGAATCAACATGTTGATCGTAACTGCATCCCTAGGGGACTCTTCCCCTAGGCTACTTCGCAGCTTCTCCTGCAACGTTGGCAGTAGCGAGTTTTCCAAAAACTCCCCTTCCTTAGGTGCGTAGTCTGGTCGACGACTCGGCGCATCCGCAGGGTTATTCTTACCTGGGCGATGCTCAATCACAAAATCAAAGGCGGCTAGCTTCTCAGCCCACCTTGCCTGACGCCTATTCAGCTCCTTCGTCGTTATGAAGTAGCGCAGGTTGGCATGGTCAGACAGCACTACGACGGGAAACTTGCTCCCCTCCAAATAGTGTCTCCAGTGCTTAAACGATTCAACAATCGCAAGCAGCTCCGAATCGTGCGTTTCGTAGCGAGTTTCCGCCCCTATCATTTTCCTCGAGAAATATGCGATAGGGTGCCAGCGGCCTTCGTGGTCCTGCTGGCTCGCTATCCCTGCGATTGCGAACCCCGAAGCATCGGGTTCGATCCTAATCGGTTTATCAGGGTCGAAGTGTGCGAGGACAGGCGCGCACGTAAAGCGCCGCTTCAGTTCCTCGAAGGCCTCTCTGGCCTCTGGTGTCAACTGGAATCCCTAGGTGCGCTTATTCAAGCCTTTCACCCCTCCAGTCTTCTTAGTTAGCGCGGATAGCGGCGCCGTAATGCGCGAATATCCTTCGATGAATTTCCGATAGAAATTCCCGAAACCCAGAAATGCCTGGATATCAAAGACAGACTTTGGTTCTGGCTATCCTAGGATATTCTGAATGCGCGCAGGTTCCATAGATACCCCCTCGGGTGATATCACGAACCCTAAGAAATTGACAGACTTCGTGTGAAATGCGCACTTCGACAGTTTAGCGTATAGCTTAAACGTACGGAGCCTCTCTAGCACCATTCTCACATGTCGAGTGTGCTCTTCCTCAGTTTGCGAATATATAAGAATATCATCGAGATAAACTACATAGCAAACGTCGAGCAAGTCACTCAGTGCGCGGTTAATGTACGACTGAAAGGTCGCAGGTGCGTTAGCCAGCCCAAATGGCATGACTGTATACTCAAAATGTCCGTAGCGGGTACGAAACGCTGTTTTCCACTTATCACCTTCGCGAATGCGAATCCGGTGATAGGCGTCTTTTAGATCTAATTGCGTATAGATCTTCGCACCTACGAGACGGTCCATCGTCTCGCCTACCAAGGGTAACGGATATCGGTTCTTGATCGTTAACTCGTTCAAACCCCGGTAGTCTACACATAGTCGCAGCGAGCCATCCTTCTTCGGCACGAAGATAATAGGCGCTCCAGCTGGACTCTGAGAAGGCCTAATCCAGCCTCGCCGTAGACACTCGTCTATATACTCTCTCAGAACTGCGAGCTCTTTCGCAGACAGAGGGTAGATCGGCTTATGCGGGGGTTGCGCACCCTCTTTCATATCGATCGCATGATCATGATCCGCATTCTCAGGTAGTCTTTCTGCGTTCGCAGGATTAAACACATCCTCAAACTCCGCATACTGCATAGGGAGCGCTCCTCCACCCGTTACCGCAGCAAAGAACGGAATCGCCCTGTAAAGTATAGGGGGGTTCTAGTGTTTACAGGATAGGGCCTGTCAACTAGGTAAGACGAAGATGGCTCCGGAACAGATGTATTATGTGAATAGTACAGAGACTGATTCTTGGGGAACTTCCCGGTCCCCAAGAATGGACTATTTATCATTGATAGGAGCGGGGTAGAGTGGCGGTCAGGGTACGCTCTGTGATCGACAGTGACACGCTGGCGATAACCCGTCTCTATGACAGGACTTCTGAAGAGTCAGGATCCACTCCGTTACACGCCCTCTCCCCAGCGAGGAAGCGAGGATACACCGCTAGCGCATTTGCCCCAGAAAAAATATCTGTCATACAGGCGGCCGCAGTTATCCTTTCCGCTCCCCGATACGAAGTGCGATAGCGCCAGGTGCGCGTTCGCCAGCAGATATCTGGATTAACATCTGTTAACCAGTCTATGCCGATGATCATGTCGAACCCCGACATATCAACGGCCTCGCAGGTTAATTCGTGGTTTCGCACCACGCCTGCGCTATCACGCATCTCTAAATCTAGATCGTGCGCGCCGTACGACTGGACATCATGTCCGTCTATCGCAATAACAAGTCGAGGGGGCGTAGCACTATCTTCGCAGTGCTGCTTAGCCTAGCGCTGATGGACAAAACTCCGCTGAGCTCCACTATCAATCAACGCCCTTGCGAGTTGAGTTCCCTCGCGGGTCGACACTTCGACCTCGCACTTAAAGGCCCATTCGCTTCGCCTCTCTGTCTTTAAGCCTAATGCTGCGGCGAACCCATGCATTGGCTTTAACCATTTTTTGTCTTAGGTGACTGATCCATAGGTGCACTTGGACAACTGTGTGCATAATGCCCTTTTTTCTGGCAGTGGTGGCAAGTGATGTAGGGGTGCGAGGTCGCACTCGTGTCGAGGTGATCCTCCCTTTTCCGTTTAGAACCCCTGTTTCTTTCATCACTGCCGCCATTGGAATTCTTTTTATGGTTCCGGCCCCTGCGAGCCATCCCCGCGGGCCGTGGTCCCGTGTTCGATTTCGCACGGGTGCCCGAATTATCGTTTGTAATTCGCGAACTAAGGTTGGCATCATTTTTGCTCTCAAACCTAGTCGCTTCATTTTTTGTTGCTCGCTTCCTTTCTGGGATCTGCGATTCAATAGTGCAAAGGTGCGCGATATAGCCGTCGTATGTTTCTGGCTGTTCCGGGTATTTCATGGCCTCGGATCGCACCTGTTCTTGCACCTTCGCCCATAGGTGTTCCTTGCGATGTACGTCTCCGTACGGGTGTCGTAGGCGTCGATGGATCCCATCTAGCTGCGTTGTAAATTCACGAACACTCTGGGTTGGTTTCTGATACGCTCGGTGATAATCTCGCACAGCATCGCGATAGATACTTTCGGGATCGTTAACGAAGCGTAGGCAGAAGTCCTGGAATTCTTCCTAGGTCGGCTGTCGGGTGAGCTTCTCAACGTGAGATTGCCACTCGTTATGTCTGTCGTCCGCGAGGTACTGCGAAGCTGCGAGCACCTTGTGCGGCGAATATGCGAACCAGACAGGGTGCGTATCGAAGTAGTTACGCAGCCTATTCTGGAACGTGTCGTATTCCTGGGTCGAGCGACCGTGGAACGTTTTGATGCGAGTATCCTCACGAGGCGCGTGAAGTCTGGTAGCCTCAATACGTCGCAGTGCGAGGGTCTCCGGGTCGAGATCCTCGCTACGAGTCTCATCCTGCGAGGGGTTGTTTAACCCTTTGAGTTTCTGGATGATTTCTCGTTTCTTTTTCTCTGCTTCCTTCGTAGCGAGCTCCTTCTCGAGCTCTTCCAGGGTCAGATTTTCGTAATCAACCTCCATGTCCACCGTACCGTGAGCGGTACCTTCTTCGGAGGAAGTGTCGTGCCGCGCAGGTTCACTCTGCTGAGTCGGCACACCGATATCGATCGGGAAATCATCGTCTCCTTCGATGACT